TTTAGGTGAAAGATTGGTATTTAACACACTGCTCTGCTCCTTTCACCAGTCTGTCAACACTTTATCGTTATCCACAGATAAAGTCAGTTTTGTTTTTTTCCACTAGACCTTGCTGTAGGCTATCTCTGCCCACCACTATCATGTTTAAAAACTGTTTAAAAAAAAAAAAAAAAAAGGCAAGTTTTAAGTTAGAGTTGTTAGTATCTATACTAGAAGTACAGTACAGTCCCACTGAGGTGTTCTGTTTTCACATGGGTTTCCCTCCATTGATTGCTGCAGTACTATATAGAAGGGATTGGCTGGGGCCAATGAAAGATGTCTTTTTGGCTGTAAATGTGTTATTTGATAGAGTAACTTTATTTTAATGCCGCATTTTTAGCTCTATCCTAACAAACTGAAGCATTCATAGCACCGTTATTTCTCCATACTGCTAATGCAGATGCTCTTTGTGAAAGTCCCCTTTTACAGGTCCCTGTATAGGACAAAAGTGCCTTTAGCCGTTCTTGTTTTGCCGTGTTAAGGTTTTATTGAGCAGTAATGAAATATTACTGAATTTGCTACAGACACCTTTGTGTTTGTGTTTTATTTTTTTATTGTTAAGTGCTTCTTTAGATTGTGTTTGATATCCAAGTTATCCATGTGAGAACATTAGTCGTCTCACCCATGCCATTTATAATAGTGTGGCATTAATGTACTGTGTAAGAATGAACTCAACATTCAACAGCCCTCCAGAAAGAAAGCAAATATTTTCTACAAACCAAATAAAAATAAAAACTCATCAATACCTTGTTTATTCCTGCAATTATATCATTCTAGAGGACATCACACAGTGATGTTCAAGCTAGAGGGCTTCTGAGTTGGTTTATATTTCAGATTTTATAAACCACTGTAGTTTAAAGGAATGTTACAAACTCCTAAAGCTGAGAACGTTTTGCTCTTGCTCAAAGTGGAAGTGAGGGTTCCTGATAGAGCATCATTGGTATTAATACTTCTCTATAAATGGTATTTTATGAGACGCATTGCCTTGGCAGATTAATCCATCTCCCCACTGAATTACTTGTAACTTAGTTTATATTGTAGAGCCCCAATAGAACATGAAGTTACCATTAAACAATTCTTATGTTAACCTAGCCCCATGCTCTCCCCCATCAGGTTGTCTCTTGATCAACTACAAAAATTGTCCTTTATTATTTTGGCACTTTTCCATTTCCATTATTGAATTGTATGTTTCAGCAAACATACACGCATGCACTACTGGCCTTAGGCCCCCTGAGAGAGTAAAAAGAAAAAGTTACATTTTGCTTTGTAGTTGTGAAAATAATGTCTGGTTTTGTATACTCTAAAACATATTGCCTATTTTGTCAATTTGAAATGTATGAAATCTGGCTTTTAAGATATGGAAAGAATCAGTTTTTTCTGATGTAATTTTGTTAGTTTCCTTGTAACCTTTCAATGCCAAAAATGTCTAGCAGTGTACATAGTCGTGTGGTTTAAATAGCAGGTCCTAAATTAAGACTGCTACCATACAATGTACTGTACCAGCTTAAAAACAATTTAATAAAACCTAACATTCCTTCAACTATTTTCCTAATATATTAAATATTTTTTAAGCAATATTGGTTTTTACATTGTATCTATATTTTATTTGTAGCATTTCTCAGAATGCACATGATTATTTTTTATTTTTTTTTAAGATTGCTTGTTTGCTATGAACCTTAGAACAAAAGACTGCTATATCCTTTATTACTTTGTAATGTAAATGTTATATTGCAGTGTTTCATGCCAGATAGGGGATTGCACAGGTTCCAGTTTCTGAGTAGTTGAAGAAATGCAAGCTCTTTTCACATGTACTAAAGCTATGTATAATATGTTTAATGTGCCTTTTTTAGTCCAACTTCTCTGGTTGTACATTGTTGTACTACACACATGTTTTTACAAAATTGTATACACCTAGTAATGATTTAATGCTTCTTTTTGTGACACTTAAAGATCTGTGAATAGTAGAGGGAATCCTTTTATTTCTATAACATGTACTAATAACATTTTCCAAATAAAATGCACTTTATCTGTGATGTCTGTCTCAAGTTCTTTTATGTAAAAGAATATAAGAATATTAAAGAATGTTTGATTGAATTAGGCAGAAGGTATATATTACTCAAACATTTAAAGTCTGAGTCAACTAGAATTGACTTTGCAGTATGTCAGTAAGATCATCTAGATTATATATGTGACTTACACAACACCATATACTTTGATTTTATCCATTTTAGATTCTGCTAAGGGTAATAATATTGCGCATTTGTATATTTCTCGTGAGGGAATTTTTGCACTTGCACCTGCACCTTTCTTTTGTTGTTTGTACTATATTTGTTGTGGGGAGTGACCTTGACAGTAGGTGTTTGTAGTGCACTTAAAGGGACACAATAGTCACCTGAACAACTACAGCTTAATGTATTTGTTCAGGTGAGATCTATAGCTCCCTGCAGGCAATCAAACACTGTATTTTCTGAAAAAATACAGTGTTTACATTGATAGGAATACCTCCAGTGGCCGTCACTCAGACGGCCACCAGAGGAACTTCCTATCATGTAGGGCCCTAAAAAGGCCTTGTACATGTCAGACGTATTAAGATATGTCTGACGTGTGCAGGAGAGAGAAGGCACTGTGTGCGCGCCTTCTCTCTCCTGCCTGTCAGCAGAGGAGAGGGGGCGGGCAAAGACTGACAGCTCGCGGCCGCGCGCATGCACTGTAGTCGGCTCAAGACTTCAGAGGGCGGCATGAATGCCGCCCAAATGGAAGCGTCTGATTGCTCCCTGCTCGCGCCCGCCTATTTCGTCATTTTGACGAAATAGGGGGCGCGACTTCACGAGGCTCCCGGCGCTGGAACCAGGTGAGTAAACTACTCTGCCTGGAGAGTCCCTTTAAAACCCACAGGGATTGGCATTCTATCACTGTACACTTCCCGTTTGTTATTGGTCTGTGTATGGGCTTATTTACATACTGTATATATAATCACCAGTAGAAGAATTATCTTTTTGTTAGTAGTCTGCAGAAACCTTAAAGGATCACTATAGGGTCAGGAACACAAAAATGTATTCCTGACCCTATAGTGTTAACACCACCATCTAGCCCCCCTGGGCCCCTCATGCCTCCATAAATATAGTAAAAGTCTTACTGTATTCAAGCCAGAAGCTGTAACTCTGCATGCTGTTTGCCTAAAAAAAAAAAAGCAGTCTGCTGACATCATCAGAAGTGGTAGCCTGATCCAATCACAATGCCTCCCAATAGGATTGTCTGAGACTGACAAAGAGGCAGATCAGGGGCAGAGCCAGCATGATTCAAACACAGCCCTGGCCAATCAGCATCTCCTCATACAGATGAATTGACTCAATGAATCTCTATGAGGAAAGTTCAGTGTCTGCATGCAGAGTGAGGGGACACTGAATGTTTGGATGCATTTTAGGCAGCCATGACCCAGGAAGGATCTCTAACAGCCATCTAAGGAGTGGCCAGTGAAGATATCACTAGGCTGTAATGTAAACACTGCATTTTCTCTGAAAAGACAGTGTTTACAGCAAAAAGCCTAAAGGTAATGATTCTACTCACCAGAACAAATTCAATAAGCTGTGACTATAGTGTCCCTTTAAAATATCGAAGCAAAACATTTAATTGTGCTGTAGTGGTTATGGTGCCAGAAATATGTTGTAGACAAACCTTTCAAAAGATATGTCACTTTGTTCAGTCTTGCCCCTTCTTCAGATATCACTAAAGCAGAAGTCCCTTAATCAGCATTGGTGGTATCAATAAAGCCACCTGCAAAATTCATTGGCTGAGATCATTCCAAAAACCAAAGGTTTCAGTGCACCTATATCTTTAAGGGTGATCTGCACTCCATTCTAATGGGTAACCCACACAGTGGTCTGAATCAAGCATAGGTTTGATCTATATAATTGGAAAGGGGAACTTATGCATATGAAGAGGACAACAGACAAGAATCTCCCAAGGAAAGTGTCAAACCAGTTTTTTTGGTGAGGGGGGGGGGGTTAAGTCTTTTTTATTACATTTTTTAACAAATTACATTTATACAAAAAGTTGCAAAACATTCATATGTACAAACAAACACAGACAATCCCAACCCCCTACGAGAGATCTCAAAACTAACCGTCCCGTTATCACACTTCAATTGTTATTGATATTACATTTTTCTTAATATTTTTTATTTTTTTTGGCTTGAGTTATTCAGGCTTTTGCAGTGGTCCTTCTCCATTTTAAGTTGGTAAACCAGTTGTTAAACTATTTGTTTAATGGAAAAGGGATTACCTCCCTTTCGATTTCTTGCTATCACTATTTTACAAGCCATTAAACAATGTATAATTAAGAATTGTTCTATTTTGTTTAGTTTTGGCCACTGACAATGTAATAACATTATTTCAGGTTTTAAAAATATTTTAACATCACACAATGTATGAATAATATATTGAGCCCACTGCCATAGCACAAACACTTTTTTACATGACCACCATATATGAATGTAGTTCCCTTTTTCCTCTCTACATTTCCAACATTTAGCTTCTGTACCCGTGGCAAATTTTGATATTTTATTTGGCGTCATGTACCATCAGTTGGCAATCTTAAAATGTGTTTCTATTAATACAAGAGAATGTACATGTTTATTGATTTTTTGAAAAGTGGATGTCCATTCCTTTAATTCTTTATTTGTTTTTAAGTTAATATTCCATTTTTTAATGACGGTGGGAATTTTAAAATTCTATAATTTCTCTAACAATCTAACACATTTAGAGAATCGCTGCTTTATTTTATTCTGATATAAAATTGATTTTAGTATGTCATATATCTTGCCCTCTGTAACTAATACACCCTTCTCTAAGTAATGTTTTACTCTAATATAGGAAACAATATCTTTAGTGGGAAACTGAAACTCCTCTACTAGCATTTGAAAAGGTTTAATTTTATTATCTTTAACCAGGTCTTTTAATGTGTTAATTCAGTTTTCTTTCCATGATTTTAAGGAAATGTTATCCATATTGAGTTCTAGTATTTTTAAGCTTTGAAAGTCAAATATTTTGTTGTCTAAGTTAATTTTTTTTTCCTCATTTTCTGCCATGTTGGAATAATCTGTCCTAAAATGTATGATCTAGATAAAAATATATATATTTTTTAATATATTCCAAATTAGCACTAAGGGGTCTCTTACTTGGCTCACTTCTAATTCTGTCCTCAGCCATACTACTTCTTTGTTTTGTTCTACCTGACTATAACGTGCGTAATGATCCCTGCTTCATAGTATTTTATTATATTTGGATCCCCTTAATTCCTCTTGATAATACTCAGTTTTTAATTCTGTTTTTTTTTTTCCATCGCCATGCGTATTAATCATTGTCAGCCATGGTTTCAGTATTTCCAATGGTAGCATTCTGAACAGATGGATCCAATTTGGTAAGACTTACGATTTCAGGGTATTTATTCTCCCTCCCCAAGATATTTCTAGTTTTCTCCATTCTTTTAGATTTTTCTTTTTCTTTTAAGAGATCCATGAAGTTTGTGCACATAATGCTTTTAACGTTCTTACAAATTTTAATTCCTAGACATAAGACTGTTTTAGCGTTAATGAAACTATTTTTCTTGAAAAGAGTCTATCTCTTGCTTTGAAATAATGTATATTGCAGTTGATTTTGTTTTGTTTAGCTTATAATTTGATACCACACTGTATAGTTCAATCTGTCATTGCACTTGATATCGAAGTTGACGGGTTACTCAAATATAAAATAGTATCGTCAGCATAAAGAGAGAGTTTCAGTTCTTTTTGTTTTGCTATGAATCCTTTGATCTTTATATTTTGTCTAATTCTGTTTGCTAGAACTTCTAAAGTTAGTATTTACAGTAAAGGGGATAGAGGGCATTCTTGTCTGGTCCCATTATTTAATTTGAACCAGTTTGAGCATATACCTGGGCCAATTATTCTCGCCATTGGGTCTTTATATAAAGCCAAAATTGCAGTTAACGACCATCCTTGTATACCGATTTCTTCTAAAGTGTACTTCATGAAGTCCCAGCTGACCCTGTCAAAGGCCTTTTCAGCATCCAAAGACAGGATCAGCATGGGACTCTCATTTAGTTGTGCTGTGTCCAATACGTCTATCAATCGTCTGATATTGTTGTTTGTCATTCTATTCGGATCAAAGCCTGTTTGATCAGGGTGGATTAGGTGACTCATAACTACTTTCAGTCTACCGGCTATAATGGAGGAAAATAACTTAATCTCTACATTTATTAACGATATTGGACGATAGCTTTGGACTTGAGTTGGGTCTTTCCCCGGTTTCAATATGGGAAGAATGTTTGTTTGCTTTTAGCATTTCGTTTGGAAATCTGCCTTTTTTAACTGCCGTATTAAAAGTGTTTTTTAGGTAAACTGCTAATTGAGATTTCATTTCTTTGTAAAATGTATTCCCAAAACTGTCTGGAACTGGAGCTTTGTAGTTTTCTAGCCTATCTATTGCTCTGTTAATCTCTTCCTCCGTGATCTCTTTATTTAAATTATTCGCTTGAATTTGTGTTATTTTATTAAATTTAGCTGATTTAATATAATCTTTTAATATTTCTGGAGGAGTAGTTTTTGAAAGACTATAAATTGGCATTATACTCATTGAAGGCTTTCCCTATATCTTCCGCAAGAAGGGAAATGGAATCGTTATTATTTTCTCAACATGATTAATTGTTTGTTTCTTTTTTTTAGCATGTTGGACATTATTTTGTCAGCTCTGTTGAAATTATGATATCTAATTTTAAGTTTAGACATATTTAAGTGTTCTTGCATAGCAAGACCACTTATTGTTATCTCACATATATATTATTATTATAGCCAAATTTGCCACCCTAACTCCTCCCACAGTTTTTACACTACATAGACAAAAATTTACCAAAACGTGCAGATTGTTCCCGATCGGATTGCTATTACTTTGTGGAGCGTTTCGCCGAATGGTTCACGGAATATCGTCGTTCTTGTGGCGAAATTTGTCCCATAGGAATGAATGGCAAAGCTAGAGTGGGA